GTGTGCGCTCGCCAGACAGAGACAGACAGAAAGCGAGAAATCACCCTCCAGGGAGGATGGCCACGCCGCAATCCCTTCTCCTCCATTCTCCTCTTAGGATCTTGGGCACGCACGCACACGCGCCCGGTGTGAGGTTAAGCCACTGGGTCCGGGACTTGGACCGCGGTTGACCACGTGGGAGTCCAGTGACATAGCCATTACGCCAACTGCTGGTCCCTGGTGTTATGTTTCATGTTTCCCAGTTCACTTTTATGCCTGTGGGTGGTCTATGAACAACGTTTTAGAAGTAACGTACTCATTTTGGAATTTTGCGTGTTCCTCCTCATGTCACTTTTCGTCTTTCCTGGCTTGTGAGTTGTGCTTATGCGCCCTGCCTTGACCTGGGCTCCTCTTGCTTCCTGTCCACACGTATCCGCTTCTGTCTGGAAGTTCCTTTATGTACGTTCAGTATTCTTTACTTTCGTACTATTACTGTGGATATTTTGTACTAATCTACAATTTTCTAATGGCTTAGTGCTTTAGTTGTAATCTGTTATCGAAGTAGAAAGTAGCACTTTATAACTTATGTATTTTCTGTTCCTCCCCCACCTCCAGTCTCCAGGTCGGCTGCCTCTCCCCTGCGCCACCAGCCGGCCCCTTTACCCTGCTTGTATCTGGGCTATTGCTCACAAAGGTCACTCCGAGTCTGGCATTTAGTAAGGTGTTGATAAACACCAGGTAATAGTAGTGGTAGACCAGAGTACTTAGCCTGATAGTGATGAGAGAGGTTCATTGAAACACACTAAAATGCATATTTACTGCTTGAGATGCGGAAACATTGAAGTACAATGACAGAGGATGCTTCACATGACGATTTAGTTTATGCTTGTTCTCCCCGTGGTGCTTCAGCACGTGCTGTTACCGAGCTGGCCGTGCACCTTCCGAGCCTTCCCTGAGCAAGCACAGGTGCTCTGTTTCTGTTTCTTTTTTTTTTTTTTTGAGAGGTTTTTGCTATAAAATGCGTGCGCTCACCAGAAAGAGAGACAGAGAGACAGAAAGTGAGAAATCACCTCCTGGGGGGATGACCATACCCGCAATCCCTTCTCCATTCTCCTCTCGCGATCTTGGGCACGCACACGCATGCGCCCGGTATGAGTTTAAGCCACTGGGTCCAGGACTCGCACTGCGGTCAACTACATGGGAGTCCAGCTACATAGCCATTACTCCATCTGCTGGTCCTAGCACATGTGTTCTTGTGTGGTATTGCTGGTGTGTCAGCTGACTCTGAGAAAATTCCTGGCCCTGTTTATAATACTCCGCCTGTGTTTGGTCAAAGAGATTATTTTATTTTATTTTTTATTCTTTAAGAGGTTTTTGCTATAGGGCGCATGCGCTCACCAGAAAGACAGAGACAGACAGAGAGATAGAAAGCGAGAAATCACCCTCCATGGGGGATGGCCACGCTGCAATCCATTCTCCTCCATTCTCCTCTCAGGATCTTGGTCACTCATACACACGCACCCGGAGTGAGTTTAAGCCACCGGGTCTGGGACTTGAACCGCGGTCGACTACATGGAAGTTCAGCGACATAGCCATTATGCTAACTGCTGGTCCCTAAACTTTTCAGTCTTTAGAAGACCTGAACAGTGGCAAGGCAGAACCATTTCATTCTAAGTGCTTAAAAATGGAAAGAAACCTGGGTCCTCCTGTGGAGCATGACGAAGATGAAAGTGCAGCTGTCACAGAGGAAGAGGAAGATGACAAGGGTAAGCCCTGACACGACACACCTCTCATGCCTGCCGCGGGCCTTACTGAGGGGTCCCGTTTTAAATGTTGGGAGGTCAAGGATTGCACAGTGTAGAGTTAGCACTGGGTGTTGCATACCTGCCACTGACTTCCTCAGTGCTCCCGGTTTTAAATGTTGGGAGGTCAGGGATTGCACAGTGTAGAGTTAGCACTGGGTGTTGCAAACCTGCCACTAACTTCCTCAGTGCTTCTGCCTTCACATAGCACAGGGTTGCTGTTTATAGAAATAATCACATTTTTACTGTTTATGGAACTACACTTTTTGTCTCTGTGTCTCTCTTTCTGCCAAGTGCATTTGCCCTATAGCAATCTCTCCAAAAAAAGAAAAGAAATGGTTATGGTGTTACTATTTATAGAAATAGAGTAACTCTTTATGAAATAGTCGTGGTGTTACTGTCTGTAGACCTACAATACCAGTGTTAACTGTTTATAGAAATAGAGTAACGGTGTTACTGTTTATGGAACTAGAGTAACAGGGTTACTGTTTATAGAACTAGAGTAATGATGTTACTGTCTATAGGACTAGAGTAATGGTGTTACTGTTCATAGAACTGGAGTAATGATGTTACTGTCTATAGGACTAGAGTAACAGGGTTACTGTCTATGGAACTGGAGTAATGATGTTACTGTTTATAGAACTAGAGTAACAGGGTTACTGTCTATAGGACTGGAGTAATGATGTTACTGTTTATAGGACTAGAGTAACAGGGTTACTGTCTATGGAACTGGAGTAATGATGTTACTGTTTATAGAACTAGAGTAATGATGTTACTGTTTATAGAACTAGAGTAACAGGGTTACTGTCTATAGAACTGGAGTAATGATGTTACTGTCTATAGGACTAGAGTAATTGTGTTACTGTTCATAGAACTGGAGTAATGATGTTACTGTCTATAGGACTAGAGTAACAGGGTTACTGTCTATAGAACTGGAGTAATGATGTTACTGTCTATAGGACTAGAGTAACAGGGTTACTGTCTATAGGACTGGAGTAATGACGTTACTGTCTATAGGACTAGAGTACCAGTTACTGTTTATAGAACTAGGGTAATGGCGTTACTGTCTATAGGACTAGAGTACTGGTGTTACTGTTTATAGAACTGGAGTAATGATGTTATTATCTATAGGACTAGGGTATCGGTGTTACTGTTTATAGAACTAGATGAAAAGGGTTACTGTGTATAGTATTAGGGTGACAGGTTACTGTCTATAGATCTAGATTAAGAGGGTTACTGTTTATAGAACTGGGGTACCAGGCTCACTGTTCGTAGAACTAGAGTGATGGCGTCACTGTTTATAGGGATGCAGTAACAGAAGTACTGTGTCGTTAGGTAAGCGTGCACCCTGAAGCCCTTCACCCTGTATTTTGTGCTCTGCTATCGTAATGTCAGCCGCAGAAATCACTAAGTACTCCCACTTAGGTGACCGCATTACGTGGGCACAGAGCGGCTGCTCCTCAGAGCTTCGTGTTGGAGTGAGCACAGTGTCAGATCACCAGCAGCGCTAGCCTTCGGCTGTGGCAGCTGTGCTAAAGCACCTGTCAGATGCACCTCCTCACAGACTTGTGGCAGATTGTGGCTTACTCTCGCACAGGAGAACCTTGCACGGCCCCACTTCACCCGTGATGGGGGGAGGGGACGTTCTAAAACACATTTATAGGTGGAAAGCATTTATGTTGTGAACATTACAGACATCTCTCCAGAATCAGCTTGCTTTTCTGTGTAGTCGGGGTGAAGCTGAGAAGTACTGTACCTTTGTTGAGTGGTGAACTATCTTTTCTGTGCCTTGCCCCCTGGCTGCCCATGGCCTGTCGGCTTGCGCGTGAGTGGTGAGTGGCGGCAGGGAGCCAAGGCGGCACTACTGCACAAGGCTGTTGGAGATCGGCACGGGTGTGGTGGAGTGGGAGCTGACACGACTTTGTCTTCATGGACTTCATCCGTGATGCGGTGTAATTCTGACTATCCTCAGGTGATGGTCTATAGTGTTACGAGACGGTCTGGAAGCGGGGTGCTCGCCGGGTTGTTGTAAATGTTAGAGTTCAGTAATGGAGCTGGTTCCAAACATCGGCATTTGTGTCATGTTGGCAAGGCGAGAACCGCCCCGGGTCCACCGCCAAGTCTAGTAGTGAGCAGAGTTTGCCTGGTCGTGACTGGGACCCAGAGGATGAGGCTTTGAAATGAAGACAGAAGGTGTGAGCTAGTGTCTCGTTACTGTGCTCTTTAAGGGAGCTGACAGAGTCATCTTATTAACTTCTGTAGCCTCTAGTCTGTTGTATTCCTGCTTGCACATAAATGCCCATTTTATTTTATGTTAAGACCATTCGTTGCCAGGACCCAGCGCTGAACAAATTACTTGCCTCAAGACCTTCTTTGGCCATTCCAGTTTTAAACTGTGAGTATAAACTCCATTAACTAAATTCACGTTTAGTGTCTTCTTCACAGACGAGAAAAGGCAGATAATCCATTGACTATTATTGTTGCGTAGGCCACACTGTTTCCTATATGTGATTACAAGATTATTATTATTATTATTTTTTTGGAGAGGTTTTTGCCATAGGGCGTGTGCGCTCACCAGACAGAGAGAGACAGAGAGACAGAAAGCGAGAAATCACCCCCCAGAGGGGATGGCGACGCTGCAATCCCTTCTCCTCCATTCTCCTCTCGGGATTTTGGGCACACATGCACACGTGCCTGGTATGAGTTTAAGCCACCGGGTCCGGGACTCAAACCGCGGTTGACTACGTGGGAGTCCAGTGACATAGCCATTACGCTAACTGCTGGTCCCAGAATTATTTTGAAGTAATACATAAAATTAATTTCTGCCAGTTGTTTTTGTAAGTGAGAAAAAGGCGTTTTCCTCTTACAGAGTGGTTTTATGTAGAGGCTAATTTAAGTGTACGAGTAGGTGAGTTTTACCCCATACCCCAGCAGTGACTCGTTCTTAAGTGCGTGCCTGTTGGTTTTGTGCATCGTGTTGTCCAAAGATGTCAGTGTACCAGACGGCCGTGGGAAGGGGAAGGGACGAGCTCGTGGTCGGGGAGGTGGGGAGGCGGACCAGCTCAGAGGTTGGAGAGGCGGGGAGGTGGGGAGGTGGACGAGCTCGTGGTCGGGGAGATGGGGAGGCGGACCAGTTCGGAGGCTGCGGAGATGGGGAGGTGGACGAGCTCGTGGTCGGGGAGGTGGGGAGGCGGACCAGCTCAGAGGTTGGAGAGGCGGGGAGGTGGGGAGGTGGACGAGCTCGTGATCGGGGAGGTGGGGAGGTGAACCAGTTCGGAGGTTGGGGAGGTGGGGAGGTGGACGAGTTCGTGGTCGGGGAGATGGGGAGGCGGATCAGTTCGGAGGTTGGGGAGGTGGGGAGGTGGGGAGGTGGACGAGCTCGTGGTCGGGGAGATGGGGAGGCGGACCAGTTCGGAGGCTGGGGAGGTGGGGAGGCGGACAAGCTCGTGGTCAAGGAGGTGGGGAGGCAGACGAGCTTGGAGGTCGTGGAGGCCTGTGCTGCAGTTTGCCTCCCTGAGCATGGCTCTAACTCTGCCCTGTGGCATTGGAAGTGACGGCTCAGGAATCTTGGGCTCACGGCCTCACCAGGCTCCAGACAGAATGCAGATGATTATGGAAAACTCGCACCATACATCACGGTGGTTACTGGTGAAGAGAACAGGGACATAGGGTCTGGCCGCCACAGGAAGCCAAGCTCTTCCCAGACGAGGACGCACCAGCCCCAGATAGAAGCCCACTCTGGCGACCCTCTTTCAGGACCCCCATTGGGAGCTTCCTCCTGTAATAAACTCTGCTTTGCTTTACCTTCTCTGTCCCCGCTGTTCCTGATGGCGGGACACGAGCCGGACGGTGGGAAACTCCGAAGTAGAGTTTGCAGGCGCCTCGGGACCTACTTCTCCAGAGGTGAGTGAAGGGCCCCTTTGTGCCTTTCCCCATCTCAGCGTTGCCATCCACTTCTCACCAGGCCTCTGTCGGCCAGCTAAAGGCAGCGGTGTGGCGACTAGTCTTCAGGCCCAGGGGACAGGCTTGCCGAGAAGTGCCCCACTGACTCCCACGGCTGGGGGCGCTGGGCGGACTGTGCTCAGCTTCCCTCGTAACTTTACCACTGCCAGGGAGAGCAAATGATCTCGGGGCGGTTGGTACTGCACAGCCAGGGCTGCCCCTGGTGAGTCCTGAAGGTCCTGAGACCCAGAGCCCACCCCAGCTGCTGAGGCACTGGGACAGCTTCCTTCCCTCTCTTCAGCTCTTCTCATTTGCTGCCTCCCTCAGCCTCCAAGGCTGGCCATCCTGGGCCAGGTCCTTCCCTTAGACTCGCCAGAGGCACTGACAGGAGGCGAGTCCTGCTTCCTTCCCTCTCTTTTAGATTTCCAGGGTATTCGTAACTTGCTCTCTGAAATATACCACAGAGCCCTCGTCACATAGTTAAGGGATTACAGGGACTCCTTCCCCTCACCATGTAGTTGGTGTAGCTTAGTCGACGAGAACGTTGAGACAGCCATTCAAACACCAATCCCAGAGGTCTTTAGGAATCCCTTAGCCCCAGTTCTAAGCCCCTCTCAGAAGCCGTTTCTAGTTACTATTTGGAGGCATTTAATGAGATGCATTCTTCCTTGGTCCCAAGAGAAGCTGGTGGCCTACCATTACCTTCTGTTTAATGGAAGTGGACTAATTTGAAGTCTACTGGAAGCAGGAGATTCCTCCCAGCTTTATGGTCTTAACTCCTTTGTGGAACATAAGAGCGACTAGAGTTGGGCACAGTATGGGTTTGACGGTCAATTTGGCCACCAGCTACTTCAACATGCAACATGGCCACCAGGCGTAAGTCCATCTTTATCTGTCGTAGCGCTAAGACAGATAACAGCTACATTAGCAAGGGCTTTCAGTTCCATTTACAAAAAAATTAATTGGGCCTGGGCAAAATTAGATCCGACTCTAATCCAGGCTGGAGAGAGATCCCTTCTGCCCTGTCCCAGATGTGGGCCGGGGCAGGTAGGAGCCGGTGCCTGGTGTCCCTGTCCGCGTGCGCGTCCTGCTCCACGGGGTTAGGGGGGCTGCCCCGTGGCTGGGCGGTGGGGCTGACGATGCGTTTCTCTCTCTCGTTGCAGACCGTAACAACCCTCTTTGCAGGGACCCTGCGGGGTGGATTCTCAAACACCGGGACTTGTTTGGCCTCCAAATCTGAAGAAGAAATGTCTGATTTTCTTTCATACCAGGCGTGAGCAATACAAACTAGACAGTGGGAGACATGGCCCCGAAGGAAGTCCCGTGACGCCGTTACACAGTTGGCTCTCCTGCTGCCGGCCGGGCACACGGCCTGAAGTGGCATACATTCAGACATTTTCCCCTGAACGTTCACCCTGATCTTTCTAAAAATGGCCAAGTCGACCCCTCATCCCTAGCCGTCATCCCCCAAGTCCCCTATTGCCCAGGCGACCACAGCCACCTCCCCAAATCGATGAGCCAAGGATTCAAACCCCAGGACACCCTCCTGCTCTCCTTATCTGCAAAAACGGATGGCCCAGACTTCAGTGTACCCAACTAGCCCACGGCCCACTATCTCCTCCCACTGCAAGAAATTCCAGCTAGAGAATCTGGACCCATTCGAGTTCAAGTTCCGTTTTCTTTGCAGTATCTGAGACACATTAAGACTGATTTAGGAGACTTCTCAGATGACCCTGACCAGTACGTAAGCCATCCCAGAGGCTCACGAGGCCTTTGAGCTGTCATGGGGAGAGGCTGTGGTGTTGCTAAAGCGGGCACTTCTGTTCACACGCAGCTGCGGTCTTGGGAAATGTGTGGGTGTCTCCTGTGGGGATGAGAGGAGAAAGCCTGTCCCAGGAGCCTTGTCCTGCTGGAGACCAAGCTGTACCCATGGCTGACCCACAGTGGTCGATGCGTCTCCCATGAGCAGATAGAGACAGAAGGCCTTCTAGGTCTGTAGACTGGAGGGGCTACAGAGGACCTGAACTGAACCCTTGGGTTATTCCAAATTGTCCATGATAGATCATGACAAAGATGAAAGTCCTTTTGCCTTTTGGAGAGACTCAGAGAAGCTGTAATTAAGCATACTGTTCTTTCCTAGACCCTCCAGAGGGGCAGTTAATGCTGAAAGGCGAACTCATGACCCACTCTGCCCGGCATTTGTGGAGGATGACCAAGACGAGCCACAGGGCCAAGCAGTACTTTAGAGAGCCTCTTAAAGGCAGCCACTTCCGTCTCCTGTGATCGGGGCCAAGGAGAGAACCAGGGAAGGAGAGAACGCAGAGAGACAAGACGGACGTGCTCGTGGTAGCCCACCAGTGGCCTCCGTCTCGTCGGGGCAGTCAACCTGGACGTCTTCCATGAGAACGTGCTGAAGAGAGAAGAGAACCTCCCAGCCCTGCCCTCGTTGCCAGGCCAACCATTGGAAAGTAGACGTACCCTCAGAATCAGAGGTCTCCGGGATTGATCCTGCCTCAGATGGTTGAAACAAACTGATGGGTCCTGGGAACTCCCTCTCAGGCTCACCTTTTAACACCAGCTTCTATAACCACTTAGGAGCCCTGGGTAATTTTTGAAGTAGAAAGATAAAAAGTAAACTTCCTCTTCGACGTGGGAGCCATAGATTCATTCCTCTTTCTTTTCCTGGACCCCTCTCCTCCGTAACAGGACAGTAGGGAGTACGCCAGGAAAACCCTTGACCTGCTATCTCTCCCAGCCTCTCGGCTGCCCCTGGGACAGCCTTTGATTGAGTCACATGTCCTAGTCATGCCCAAGAGCTCAGCTCCTCTTCTAGGTGAGACCCTGCCCTTGTGTGGGGACTATTCTTGTGGTACCCGACAAGCAGTCTTCTTCCCTTTGTAGAGATCAACTTGACGTCTGACAAACCAGGGGAAAGTGATCCGAGCTCTCACCGCTACTCGTCCAAACTTCCCTGGGGCCAGCAGGTGGCATGGTGGTCTAGGCGCTTGACTGCCCCTTGGACCTGGCAGCTTGAAAGTGATGTTGGGCATGTGCATGTGTGCCTCAGATCCTGGGGGAGAGCGGGGAGGGGATTTAACTGCCTTCTCCACTGTGCTTCGAGACCCTAATCCTCAGGAGAGGCAGAAAAGACAAATGACAATTTAAAAAGACACCCAAGACAGTATCCCTAGAGACTCAATCCCCTGAACTTACCTTCTCCCTGTAGCCTTAATTCACGTGAGAAGGAACCCTGTAACCAGGCGTAAGCCCGTATGAAGTGTACGGGTGCCTGTTCCTAAGAAGTGGTCTTGATGCAGAACTCTCTGCTTTAATGAAACAGACCACTTCCTAGGTAAAATTCCAGCAGACTCTTCTACAACCCTCAGAGATGCAAACGAGAGAATCAGCGCCCCTACGCACTTCAGTGCTGATGAGGGCTCTTCCCTCTATCCC